AGAATAGGTAATATTAAAACTTGGTATTTTATTTTTTAAGTAACCACACTTACAAAATGTTTAATGAATAGCTTGATATTTCCATTTACTTCCTCTAGTCTCTTGGGACAGTGTCCTCCCACTTGGTTCCTCCACATTCCTATATACCAAGTCACAGTGATTTTTATCCATGCCCACTATGTCCCCAAGGACAGCATGGAAGTGCTGTCATGCCCAGGGGACTTGGTACGGCCTCCCAAAGGGCTGGTATTTGCTGTAATTGCAAAATCTCTTAGAAATATGATGTTTTACCTCTAAAGGTATTTCAAAATTTATATTCTTCTCCCTCATTTGACTTTGTTATAATATAAAGATAGTCTTTCCAATTACTTATTATGGACCGAAATTCATGCTCCAGGAAGAATTAATGTCATGTTAATTCTCAGACTTCGCATGCTTCTTGCAAACCTCTTACCCCAGCCAGAGTAACACGATGATAAAATGGTATAATCACATGACACATGAAGTGCTGCAATGAAATGGAAAGGACAGAAATACAGCTGGGATATTAATTCAAGAGAAAGAGAAAATAGCACTATTTGAACAGGCTTAGTGGGGTAGCTGAGTTCTTTCTGAAAATAAGTGGTGTGTTAGCTCACCTTTCCTTGACCTATACTCTGACTCCCCCAGTCTAATACAGCTTTGTTCACTGCACATGCATGGGGGGGTACAGAGAGACTGACACAGAAATCCAGAGAAAGAAGAAGGAGGTGGGGAACCGAGGGACGGAGCCAGATACAGAGAAGGAAGAAAAAGAGAGAAATGGGGCTACCATATTCATTCACAGACAAACAGGAAGATACTCAGTGCAACCACTCATGCAAACACTAGATGAAGATGTCATCATGTCACTATAGTAACAGAATCAGGCATTTCCTTTATATGGTTACACAAATTAATAAGATGAAGAAAGGCTGGAGAGATGGCTCGGTGGGTAAGAGCACTGGCTGCTCTTCCAGAGATTCTGGGTTTGCTTCCCAGCACCCACATGGCATCTCAGGACTGTTTGTAACTCCAGTCCCGGGGGATACAACACGTTCTTCTGGCCTTCTAGAATACTGAATGCACGTGTACATGATGTCAAAACACCCATACACATGCAATCTGAATAATAATAATTAATTCATTAGATGTGGTAGTAAAACCTATAAAACAGCTCTAAACTCAATGCTTTCCGTTGAAGACAGCATCTGGAACGGCAGCCCAGACTGGCCTCAGCCTCCTGAGGAGCCTGCTTCTGCCTCCGCCCCATGAGCTTGGATTTCAGCAACAACTTTATTTATGGGGTTCAAGAAACAGACACAATAATTCCATACCATGATTCCACGGTGGTGCCATAGTATGTTCCCCTGGGAAGTTAAATGACAGCGGCTTTTTTTTCTAATACTTTTATTGTGATCAAACCTCTTTGTGATGGTGAATCTTTTAAAATTTATTTTATTAATTTTTGATAATTCCATACACTGTTTCTTGATCATATTCATCTCCCATCTGTTTTGCTAACCCTTCCCGTATCTATCCCTGCCTTCCCAGCTCTCAAGTACATGTCCCTGTTGTTTGGATTAGTCTGTTCTTCAACAAACTGAGATCATGACAGAAAGCTACAGTTGGTCAGAATGCAGAGCTCAACTGACTATGGGGAGCCTGGCCCCAGTTAATAAATTTACCACATAAAATGTATACCTAAGGCATGGAAAACACTGTGAGAGAGAGGGCAGAAAGGATTGTAAGAGCCAAAGGACAAAGACATTTGTTCATTTGTTGTTAGACATCCTCTTTTAGGAAGGAGAGAGAGAGAAAAAATGCTGAATGGGAAGTGACACACTCAATCACAGCTGTCTTAGTGAGGCTGTTAACCTAGCAGAACATTTCATCCAAATCCAACCTGAAAGTGTGTACTTCCCAGGGAGACCCTTCTAGCTCCAGAAGCATCCTGTAGTAGGTGCAAGGTGTTGCACTGAAGGTCAAGGCCTTTGGCACAGACACGGGTTGCTATGGTCCCACACCCCCTCAGTAACACCTTAGGAGCTGTGAATGTAAGAGGGAGGAAGACCAGACACTGGCACTCAAACCTTCTTGTTTTCATAATGCCAAACTCTATCAGGTTTTCCAGCCACTCAGAACTGCTGATGGACCTTTCCTACAAAAAAAAATAGATTTTCCTTTTAAACATTCCACAATCCTGGACCGTATTTCTGGTTTTAGAGCATTGGTGTAAATTGGGTATTATGTTTATAACATGTATGCTGTATTTTATGTAGTATGTTGAACAGTAAGTAGTACATCCAAATCCATTGAGGAAGCTGGGTTGATGGCTCAGGTGGTGAAGCCCTTGTCCTGCAGGGGAGGTGTGTCAGGGCTCTAGAATCCACACAAAAGGCGGGCACAGTGGTGGCACAAGCCTATAATCCCAGAAATGGTGAGGTAATAGGTAGTCACAGGCAGAGTCCAGTGTCCAGGTCCAATATCAGCACAGAGGCAGATGGAACCATTACTATCTCTGTTTTTTCTAAAGGGATGGAAGAAAGTCTGGCACACAGCATTAGCGTTCTCATATGCCAGTTGCTTAACGATAAGTATTCCTGCCTCTACATCAACCATAAGACAATTGACCAGCACAGAGAAGCCCTGTCTCGGGGGAGGGGGGGCACGACTATTGAACACCTGTGAAAGATGAGCAACAAAATCTTGATATGTCTCGTCAGGCCCCTGTCTAAATCTAGAAAGTTCCTCTGTCTTTTTTTCCAGAATCCGGTAATTCATCCATATGTCCTCACTCCCAGAAAACAAAGCTGCTCCCTTCCAGAAAGGTAGCGCATCACCCCGCATCCCCATCCATCCCCACCCTCATCATAATCCTCAAGCAAAGAAAGTAATTCCAGCAAGGGAACAGAAGGTCAAGGGCGCTCATTCTCTAGCGGGGCTGACATTTTTACTTTCGATTTTGTTTGGTCCATTCTGATCTTACACTAGAAAAAGCCTCCTTCTAGCTTCTAAGAAGTTTTCTTCTTGCGTCTCATGATTTAGCTCATGCTCATGTAAGTAAGAATCTGCCATCTTTTGACTCGTCCCATTTACTGTTCGTATCGTGACATGGACGAATGTCGGAGTCACCCAGAATTGCACTGGAATACCTTCCCTTTGTCTGTGGGATTCCACTGTCTTTTCATTGACCTGATCCCGTAGTCGGGGATCTAGAGTGTCCTTTTCAGGAAACCTGGGTTTATAGTCTGTTACTAAACCCCATCATCTCGCAGTTGGGCTTTGGACATTGCTGCACCACTCTTATTTCAGAAACGGAGGATCAGCTCAGTACACGGTGCCGCTTTCCCTAGCTTTAGTGCCACATTAGTCCGTGCTTACCTCCTGCCGCGGGGGCCCTCATGCCCTTGTTAAGCTTTTTGTTCAGGTCGCTGATTCAGGTACCACTCGTCAGGCTATGCAGATCTGTGTCTGTGAGACCCGGGATCTGAGAATCTGGGAGAATGGGTGAGGCCACTACAATATAATTCAGAGGCAACCTTCCTTCGGTTCCAGTACCTTTAGACACAAATGTACCAAAGAAAGCAATGCTCCGAGGAAGGTTGTTTGACTTCAGAAGAGCCTGATCAGGAAAACGTGGAAATAAGCACCAGTCAGCACATACTAAATATTATCAAAGCAGTCCTTTTCCAGAACCTTCTCAGGACAGACCAGTTTAAATACCATTGCCTGGCACATACTGTAGATTCTATGTGGGAAAGTACAAAAGCAAGGCAGAAGGCCATATCCAGATTCAGGGTACACTGGCCAGACTGGATTCTATAGCTGTGTTCTGACATCCAACAAAAATAAACATGGCTTATAGTTGTCACAGGAGGCGCAAGGGCATGTCCAAGAGCAATTCAGGGAACAAAATGCACCTGAGATAAAGGCCCTCTGCTTTTCCCCCTGGAGCCTCTCTCACAGTTCTCCAAGGCATGCTTCCCATGAGTCCATCTTCTGACCGTATTTCGACATTGGAAGCTCTCCGGTTAGCCTAGCCTACAAGGCAGAGTTCCAGGCCAGTAAGATCCTGTTTTGATCGAAAGCTTAAAGGAGCCTAAAGCCTGACTTAACTCAAAGTTATCCCCTGACTTCCACTACACATATTCTCCAGGCTTGCGTCTGCTCCCACCACACGGAAATACACACACATACACACACACACACACACACACACACACACACAAAGAGAAAGCATACATTGAATAAAGATTGCTTCCGATGTAGAAAGAGGAAAAAAAATCATAGCAAAGCCCAAAGTCAAGAGTTAAAACTTAGTAGCAAATTAATTTCCTCGAACCTTGAGTGATTCCATAAATACTCAGTCTGATGATATAAGGAAGCAAAGACCCTTTGTTTCATTTTTTTTAAAAAACTAGAGTAATTATCATCAGGCCCAAAGAAATCTCCGCATCAATCAAAGACCAATGCTATCTACCCAACATGTGCAGCGACATTCCGTAAGAGAACCCTGGCTTCACTCTGTTTGCTAAAAGGTGTGATATCCATCATCTCTGTGTGTCACCCGACTGGTCGTTAGACATGTAGAAGACAATCTGATCAGAGGAAAGAGCTTTTAGTCACTCAAAATGTATTTACTCCATATGTTAGGCACAGTACTAAACACAGAGATTTGAGAATAACTAGAATGAAGGGGACAGGCATAGATGAGGCAAATTAATATCATGATGGAGATTACCTACAGCCCGGGGAAAGGTGCTGCTACCTTTTCAGCCTGATATGATGGGGTGTGCTGCTCGTCATTTTTCTATTTTTCCAGAATTAAATGAATTTTGGTAACGAAGTTTCAGACGAGCTTTCTTATGCAGGCTATATTACTGAGGCGAACAATTCTCTGTGAATCGCAGGATAATAAAATATTCACAGAAACTTGCAACTCTGCAGCTGAATAACGATTACACGTTTGCTCCAAACAGGCAATTGGTTTCCAAACACATTAAACAAAGGCAATTTAGAAGGCTTCTTCTTCGTGCTGGCATCCTTGACGCTGCTGAATGTCCTGGGATTCTGGAGGGCTTCACGGGGGTAAGTGTGTGGGAAGAGGAACGATTTCTGACTCCGTGAAATATTGGTCTGAGACTCATGAGTGAGCCAATGGGATCCCGTATGCCATGACGAGACAAATTTGCATCCTGCAGAAATTTAATGGATTATTCTGAGCGAAACTTTCAGTTTAGACTCCCTTTATCCACCAGTTCTCACAATGAATACGTGTTTTATTCCATTCTAAAGCATGCTACGACACCAGGGTGGTGTCCTTTATCCACAATCTACTATTTTAGAGTTACAGGTTACAGTTGGAGGTAAGTCATTACCTCTAAAACCAAATATCATTAAGCAAACAGCTAAGAATTTAATGACCCTAAAGATTTGGGTTCCAGTCAAGCCTTTAAATCAGCAGTGGCCATTTCAAGGTCAATAGGTGGAAATCCATCCCAACAGTGGTTCTCAACCTTCCTAAGGCTGTCACCCCTTAATACAGCTCCTCATGTGGTGGTGGTCCCCCAACCATAAAATTCTCACTGCTACTTCATAGCTATAATTTTGCTTCTGTTATGAATCATAATATAAATATCTGATATACAGGATATCCGATATATGACCCTCCCAAGGGGTCGCGACCCACAAGTTGAGAACCACTGTTTTAGAGTCTTACCTAAGTTGTCAAAATAGTGTAATATCATCATCTTTGGACATAATCTCACTTGTCTTACAGTTTACATATGCAAAATACTACCCAATCATGGAAATACTTTTCAGCCACGTGATATCTACTTGTCAAAGATCCCTCATGAATCAGGCTCATATGTATCATCTGCTATCATCTATCCATTGATTGCCCGACCTCTCTCTCTCTTACGGACATATTCTAGTTGTGTGCACAGAACAAGCAGCCTAACCTGTTGGAGTCCCACTTGTCACCTCTTCCTTGCCCAAATCAGTCTTTTGTTCTTCTACCAAATGTCTTTTGGATCAACATCCCAGTGACAGATAGGGGCAGCAAGCCAGAAGTTTGCAGAGTCAAAAGTCAACAGATGCTCAGAGTCTTGTACCGCCCTGATCTCCCTGAGCTGAGGGTTCATTGTGGGAGATATTGAAACTCTGAAAGGAGGGTGGGCACCACATCTAAATTTTGAATAGCTCCTTTAGTATGATTATTTCTTGATTGCCAAAGCACACAGGTTCGACCTCTTTCCCACAATATGGAAGTTCTCTAAATGCCAGGCTCTTAGATCACAAAGGAAACTAGAAAATCGGTCTCACAGGAAACTCTAACAAGGATTTGTAGGAAACAGGTTTTGTCGTGAAAACAGAAGCCGAAGACAAGTGCTGCTTCCCTCCAGCCACTGTCTCCAACCCCAGAGCTTGTAAGGTCCAGTACCACCTCTCCAGTTTCCATTTTGTAGTCTTTGTGTAAGAATTTGCCTTTGGATGGGCAGTGGTGGCTCACACCTTTGATCCCAGTGCTTGGAAGGCCGACACAGGCAGGTTTCTGAGTTCAAAGTCAACCTGGATTATGAAGTGAGTTCCAGGACAGCCAGGGCTACACAGAAATATCCTGTCTCCAAAACGAAATGAAAGAAAGGAGAAAGGGAAGAAGGGAGGGAAGGAAGGATGAACAGACAAAAGAAAGAAGGAAGGAAGGAAGGAAGGAAGGAAGGAAGGAAGGAAGGAAGGAAGGAAGAAAGAAAGAGAAAGAAAGAAAGAAAGAAAGAAAGAAAGAAACTTGCCTTTGTCCTTCAGAGAAGCAACCTCCAGAGTCAGAGATGTCAAGGTCAGTTCCACAGTGTGTGAGCAATATAAACACAAGCACAGTTCTTAATCCAGCTATGCCTTGGTTTCTTCACCTCTCACTGAGTTGCACAGGTGCTTAGAGTTGAGTAAACACTCAAAAGTATTAGCAACACTAAAGTGCTTCCCCATCTGGCCTTATGCACCCCTTTCTTCTGCTTTATTCTTCTCATGTTTGTGCTGAGATATGATCCAGTTGACCATGAGCATGATCGAGTCCAAGTCGGTCTTACTTGGGAATCTGACTTTTTCAGCTCATCGTGCATGCATGCACTCAGCCAACCTGTTAAGCAGTGTTCCAGGCACTAAAGAATCAAGGAAACTCCATTAGAACAAAGGGAACGAGACTGGTGTCCAATCCAAAACATTCAGATACATGTGGTTACTGAGGAGAGCTTGAGGTTGGTGAAAGAAAGAGGGAGGGATAAAAATATTTAACACCAGAGATTAGCATAAGCACAGATCAGGGACTTCACACTAAAGCAGGTTTGATTGATAAATAAGTCTCATTCTGTCCAAGTCTTATGTAAGCCATAAGGATGTTTTTTACACTTGAAATTTAGTGTTCTAGTGTATAAAATGGCAACAATCTCTCCTTCCCAGAGTAGTATGGCTGGAGAAGATACTCAGGGCAGGAAAGTTTCTCTAATGTTAGGGGTGGACGGTGGACATTTTTAAAGTGTGGTCACAGATTCCTTCTTTGACAGTGGTCTCAGCACCAAATCCATGGTACATCTATTCAGTAGAGTACAATCTGGAGCACATTTGATGAGCCCTTAGAGTCCAAGCAGCCATGAAATCCACTGCCAATAAAATTTCAGGGTTTCTCTCACTAGCAGTACAGAAGAGACTTACAGGTGGTTGTTAAAGAACACCATCCTGCTGGCCACGAGGGTGTGCATTCACCTATAATCCCAGCATTTAAGAAGCTAAGGCAAGAGGATTACCCCAGTTCAAACAAGACTAGACTACAAGCAGGTCCCAAGAGAGCTTGGGCTTCATGGCAATACCTTGTCTCAATAATAAGAGAGCGCTCTTGAAAGGTCCTTATGGGATCCTTACTGTGTACTAAATAGAACTCCCCTGTCCTTGTACAAAGACTACCTCTTAAATAATGACCCTCGCAGAGCCATCATAAAAGGTGGGGAAGCACCGGGAGGGAAGCCAGTGATTTATCACGTCATCTCCATCTGCTCCTAAGAAAAGTTCACTTTCTTTCAGTTTTAGATACTGTAATCTAAATCATTGTAAAGCCCAGAGCATCAGTGGAAGAAATCATGAAGAAACTCTTCTCTGTGAAAAGTCTCTGAAGTTTTATGGCAGTATGCTGGAAGCATCGTCAAGTATTGATCTTTGGGAGACAGCCCTATGAAACTGGATTTGACTCTGACTGGTGAGCCCACTAGTCATTATTTCCTTCTTCAGCCAAACACTTTATAGATATTATCGGGAAAGTCAACATAAAAGAAAGCCACCATGGATGCTATCTACATATGTTAGTTACCAGAACAATCATGATCCTCTAATAAACTATTATGCTTTTGTATTGATGTACTAAACTAATTAAGTGATTCCAGTGTCTTGGTGATTACTTTATGACCAGAAAATGATTCTTTTTTTTTTCTATGCCAACATGTCAGTCATTATTATATAACCTTCACAATGGTTCTGCAATTGAAAGTGACAAGCAATATTTACTTATAATTTAATGTCAGCTAAGAAATGCTATGTTTGTATTTTTTCTTTCTGTACATTCACTAATTCTTTATTTATTAACCACAGATAACACATGTCCAGGTAGAATATATATATTTCTACTATATTTGATCTTGTTATTCCACTAAAATATATCTCAATTGAGGAAAAAATTCTGAATTTAAAGTCAATGTTACTATCATAGAGGTAGCTTGGTATGGTTTCATTTGGTCTTGTTAGGTTGGGACAAGGTCTCAGGCAGTCCAGGCTGGCCTCTGATGGAGGAGGGTCATCTGTCTATCTATTGCTTTCATTGATTAATTAATAAAGAAACTGCTTGGCCTGATAGGTTAGAACATGGGTGGGTAGAGTAGACAGAACAGAATGCTGGGAAGAAGGCAATGAGGCAGATGCCTCAGGCCAACGTGATGAAGCTCTGGCCCAAGATGGACATAGGCTAGAATCCTTCCCGGTAAGTCACCACCTCATGGTGCTACACAGATTATTAGAGATGGGTTAAGCAAATTATGAGAATTAGCCAATAAGAGGATACAGATAATGGGCCAGGCAGTGTTTAAAAGAATACAGTTTCTGTGTAATTATTTTGGGTAAAGCTAGCCGGTGGCCGGGAGCCCTCCCGGGCAGCGGGAAGCAGCCTGCCGCTCCATCTACAGGCCTCAAACTTAACTATGTTGCCAAGAATGGCCAACAAACTGGAATTGCAATCCAGGTGCCTCTGTGAGAGGCTTCTTTTATTTATTATTATTATTATTATTATTATTATTATTATTATTATTATTACTATTGAATAAAATTAATGCTCTGTCCCTTTGTCCAAGTTTATCACAGTCAGTTTGGTTTTGAGTCTCCTGCTCCAGGTGACTCTTTATTGCCCCCACAATGCCTGCTTGATAAACCTAACCTGAGCTCTTCCTCTCTGGTACCCAGACATTGAAAGTCCTCACTAACGACCTCCATCCACTTCCCCTCCTTGACTACCCTGGATTGAACAAGAGCCTTTACCAGATCATTTCCAGCGATAGTAACTAAGCACCCCCTCCTTCTGATGCAGCCAATGCTTAAAGTGTGGAATAAAAGATATAGCCAACTTGACTGGGCTTCAGTATGCATTGCTGTAAAAACCAGGTGCATTTTCCTATTCCAGTTATCTGCTATTTGCTGGTTTGTTCAGATAACACGTCCATGTGCACAGAGAAATTCTTCCCATTTGTTTGGAGGACGTGTCTGTGTACACGCAGCAATTCCTCCCCACAACTTTTTCAGATTCTTTGTTTTGCATAAATCCCTGGCAAAGCAATGAGGCAGGGCCCAGTGCTCTTACAACTTTCCTTGCTGTGAAAGGTTAAATGCCAAGCTTGCAATTTTGGGCTTAATGAACACCCCAAAGGAGCCTCGTTAGTGCAGTATCTAGCGCATTGGTCTCATAATGAACACCCCAAAGAACAAGAAAGCTCCAAATGCCTCGTCTTGGTGTAAATGAAAAGCCATAGCCCGCTCTTGCTTTAGAAAACGGCCTGGCGTGGCCTTGGCCGTTCCCCAACTTTCCCTTCATCGCCTTAATTTTCTACATTGTAACAGGAAGAAAGGGGTGTTCGTCACGCTCTCCCTCTTCCTTTGCAATGAAAGATCTGCAGAAATTAGAAAATTGACCCAAAGCAAGCAGCAGAGGAGCTGAGAACTCGCACGTTGGCGTTGACACTTGTGATTAGCTAAATTGCAGTAACTGCACGCGCTTCCATTCGGAACAGGGTGCATTCACACGGCAGTTTCCTCTCTAGAGCCTGGCGACATTATCGCTGAGCACCTGGAATAGTTTAGGCATTAAGTGTAATTGGTTTTGCTTTACATAAATCTGGAGCTTTGTAAATAAGCGGAGCGTTTCAGCTTCTATATAACACCAATTAACTTAAACGGATGCCTTGTTTGCAGAAGCCTGCTGCGTTCAGTACTGTATTTTTCCCGTAATGTGTTCAATGGCAGCGAAGCCCTGCGTCTCCACAGCGTTCCTTCTGCTCCAGCCGCTTCCGCCAAGGGTCTCCCTGTCACTCACTCACTCAACGCAGGTCACAAAGGTTGAAGGAACCTCGTCTTCCCTGAGAAACTCCCTCAGTGCTGGATTTCTGATCAAGATTTGGGACTTGAAAGGAAAGCAGTAGAAAATGTTTTCTCTGACCCACAGAGCGCACAGGTCTGACCCCATCTGGTTCTGTCGGCAAGTGACAAGGACATCTTTTTCCTCTTTTCTCTTGTAATATTTGGGGCAGCCGAAAGCCAGACCTTGTGCCTGTACACAAAAAAATTTAAATGTGTTCTTATTGTATAAATTTACCAGTGAAAGCATAGTGCCTTGTTTCCTAAAGGGGGAAAAGCAAGCAAACAAACAAAAACCTGAAACCTGGGAGCAGATGGAGTTTCTCCCCCTTATTATCTCTCTACTCAGCTCTCTCCCCTATCTGTGATACCCCCACCAATCATTCCAACAATTTTGAATTCCAACATCCAGCCCTTCATTGCCAACCTGGAATTCTCTTGCTTTATACAAGCAGTTTGTAAATCTGTGGGGACTGATCAACAGATAAGAACACTTGCTGTGTCCACGGGAGAACCTGAGTTTGATCCCCACGAACCCGCGTGATCATGTGGTATGATCACACACGCCCAGCACCCGTGAGCAAAGGCAGACAGATCCCAGGAAGCTTAGCCGGCTGGGTGAGTTTCAGATTCACTGAGAGACTGCCTCAAGGGAATATGTGGAGACACAAGGCAGAACACCCACTACCCTCTTCTCACTTCTGTGCACATGGCGTGGGCACACAGGCATATGCAGACACAACCGCAAGCACACACCACACACGCTAATTTCTAAAGCATTTTTGTCAGCTAACAGAGGAACGCTATCGCCAAATAACAGCTCTTGATTCCACACGCTTCCTGTTAATATTGTGATTAACAAATCGAATGCCTGCTGAGAACGGCCAGGGTCTCTGGGTCTGAGAAGATCATCAGCAATGTTGGGCCCAGCAACAGCGATACACCATCCCCACCGCAAGGAAAGCCAGAATATGATTCCCAGTCTCAGGCCTTTAAGTAAAGCCCTCAAATAAAACCCCCAGCAGAGTGACAGCAAAATACAGGTGCCCCCAGTGCAGTCTGGTAGAGAGAAAAGGAATTAGGGGAGTCACGAGCAGTCACGACCATACCTATGCCACGCTTTGCAGTTTACAAGTCTGTGCCACATGTTTGATTAAGACCAGCATTCTGGGAGGGAGGCACACGGTAATGTTCCCATTTTGTAAGTGAGAAATTGAAATACCAAGACAGTAAGTGACTTATGAGGACTTGCAGAGCTTGAGAGATGGTTTACTCGGTAAAGTACCTGTCACCTAAGCCTGAGGACCTGGGTTTAGATCCCCAACACTCTTGTCCAAAGCAGGTATTGCAGCACATGGATATAAACTTGGTGCAGAGGACAGAGATGCAGAGATTCATTCCTAGAGACCACTGGCCATCCAGCCTTGCTGAATCCTTGGGCTCCGGCCTCAGTGAACAACGTTATCTTAAAAAATGAAGGTGGACAGCAATCAAATCTCCTAATATCAACATCTGTCCTCCATATGTATGGCTTATACCTATATGTCTGTGCACGCTCGTGGGGCATTCTCGGGTACAAACACACACACACACACACACACACAAGCGTGTACAAATACCACCCACACATAAATGAATAAATAAAATAAAATAAAAATAAATTTTAAGCAGAGAGAAGACTTGAGAGTTACACCATTGTTCTCTAGGGCAATAGCTGCTTTCACAAAGAACCCTGGAGGTACCACCAACATTGGATCAACCCACATGGATGAAGCACTCCATCATCGAAAGGGAACAAGAGAGGGATGCCGTGACACGGATAGGGATCCTGACAGAACAGCTCACATTTTCCACAGTGAGCATTCCTACGGAGCCTTCCGCTGCTCCGTGTGGACTCCTGATTGTCATGTGCTCCCCACTGAAAGAGTCTTCCGGCTGACTACAGTGGGATCAGGGATCTCAAAATGAGTTCTCCCAGTTCTTTCAGATCTGCCATCAAAACTAGCTGGATGTTTGTATTACAAATGAGTTCTAAACTGCCTTTAGGAAGAGCAATTTGCAATAAATAGATGTTCCCTTAGTCTGATCCATAATTGTGAAGATTCCTGTGCCACTTGCTTGTGCATACAACTGTTCTTTTAGCAATCAAAGTCACCACCAGCTTATAGATAGTCCCAGGGGAGGCCGCAAGCAGTTGTGAGCTGTCTCACATGCGTGAGGACCCAAACTCCAGTTCCCCACAAGAGCAGTATGTATGTTCTTCATCACTGAACCTCCGGTCCCCCAAACCCTCATCTACCCCTTATCATGGCCGCATTGGAATCCACCTCTTGGCTCTGATTCCATCTCTTGGATGGAAGTCAGGCGGTTCTTAGGCTTTTGAAACCACAAGTGACCAAACTTAAATAAACACAGCAATGAGTGCACAGCCTATGACAAGTGTCTATTGCCATGGTAACAGCAAGTCAGGAACACATTTAATGGCACTTAAGTGAAAAACAAGGCAACAATTCTATAATTCTGCTACAGATAAAAACTGGAGAAAAACAGAGTCCGTGGGAGCTAGGGATTTGGCTAAGGCAAGGGGCACCTCTTGCCATCCAAGATATTACAAAAGAAACACACATGTCATCATAGCAGTTTGCATTTCCCCAGCAGGATCCATCAGAGAAAAATGAAGAAAAGAATGGGACGACACAAAATTTATCAG